TCACTCTACCGTAACCTCAGAATTTAGTCAATTTTAAATTGTCATTTTTTGGATTGCTCTACCGTTCTCACTATCCATCTCGCTCTCTAAGTCTCTCTCTCTCATTCTCTCACTCTCTCTCTCTCTCTCTCTCTCTCTCTCTCTCTCTTAATATCTGCTATTTCCATTTTACGCAAATTCTCCTTTTTTTGATTTTCATTGTTATTTTGTTACCGTAACCCACCTGCTCCATTCATAAATTTTTATTTTGCAAATATTTAACGAAAATTACAGATATTACCGTACACTCGCAAGCGCGTGTATAGGCGTAGAACGGAAGGCGGCAAAATCTGGCTAATCAAATTATCCCCTCCATTCCGTTTTGCTCTGGCCCGTACGTCAGCGGAAACTCGCGGAACCTGCTCGCAAAAAGTGCAAAAAGATATCCACCGCATATAATGGGAAAATGGGATGTACAGTGGTCGTGTTTGGCTGACTAAATCAAATTTTGTGAAAATATGAGGATTATTTTGGAAATCCCGGGAATTTGACTAACCCGGCTCGGCCCTTATGGATTTCCGGGAAGCGGCTACAGTACCCCGTGCAGCCTAGAGACAAAAACAGGGCAATAAGCACGTTGTTTTGCAGGGGATTTTTGAACATTCGGGTGCCGGGATCTTGTAAGTGTAAGTATTTTTAAAAGTGCAGATGAAGCTTTTCGTACTTTTTAAAATAAGGTTTGCAAAAATTCAAATTTGTTCATTTCAATTCAGTCGATTTTTATTTTGAATCGTTTTCTAGCTAGTTTTATGCAAAGTTTTTGGGGCCAGTTTGACCGCTTAAACACACGCTCGAAGTCAGCTTGAGCCGTCTAGGTTTTGTATACAGAGTTATAATGATTTTTACCGCCAGTTAAATTTTAGAAGCTTTTAGCAACCGAATTTTAACTAAATTAAAATGGAAGCAGTGTTCCGGTTGTTCTAAACCAGACTAAAATTGTTAAACCGGCTTTAAAGCTCTTTCTAACCAGCTTATTTTCTAAGGCTTTAAAAGCTATTTAAAAGTCCCTAAGGGCCTGGGAAAACGCTTCTTCTTAAAGATACCTATATGCATAGTTTAGTTGTGCTATTTGACTTATTTTCAGCTGCCTTAGCAGCAGACTGGTGAACTTTAAGGACGCTCCCCAGCACTAGACCTACCGCACCGAAATCAGGCCGTCTAGACGCCGGGCCTATTCCGGTCACTCATTAACTGGGGGGTAGCGGAAATTCCCGAATTTCCCTCGTCAAAGTAGTCCCTAAAATTGGCAGAGTTTGTACACCAGATAAGGGCAACCATTGGTCTTCTTATTGCCAGACGTTTCCGGGGCTTTGCAGTACTATGAATGCGAAAAACAAAAAAAAACCCATTAAAACCTCGAATCAAAATAAAGTTGATTCACAAAAATTTCCGCAACCTCTCTGCTAGCAGGCCTTCATGCCTTTATTGCAGGCTGCCTACCGACCGAGGATGGCGAGGAGACATACGAGTGTCCGCGAGATAAACCGGGCGAGCCGCTGGTCTGCATACATCAATGGCAATTTTGCGATCGAGTAAGTCAAAAAAATCGGCGTTGAATCCGTTGGGTCATTGGCAAAAACCAGAGTCTATATGCACGTTTTCAGATCCTCGACTGTCCTAACGGGAAAGACGAGCCGCCGTTGCATTGTCTCTTCAAAGCAGCGGTGAGTTTGGTCGAAATTAGGGCAGGCTAACAGTATTCGTTAGGGAGCTCGGAATAAATCTATATTTCCCCACTTTCAGTTAGACGAGAAGCTGATGGAAAGCGGGCAACGGACGCAGAGCCTCTTCCAGCCCCACCACAGATTGAGGCATCATGCGCCGGCCGACATCCATGTCGGACATCACAAGATTTTTGTCGGAAGGAAGCACGAACCGAATTCAAGCCGATGATAATCTACAGTTCGAAAAAGATGACGTCGGCCTCGATCTCGACCAGTTCAAGAAGTTCAGAAACTGGTCTTCGAGCTTCAAACCTGTCAGATCGTGTCGTTGATAATATCCGGTCGTAGCCGTAAGTACGTAATACACCGTCCCTTGCGTACTGTCAAGTAGTAGGCTGTATTCAGCCGTACTGCTCCGTATTCTAAGGTATTAGTACTCCACCGTACCCGGTAATCGCTAGAATTTTTTGAACTAAAGGGACAGTGCCAGCAAGCTCTGAAATTCCTGGAAACTCCTATTTACGACCATTTCTTAAGCTGGCACCATCCCTTTAAAACCCGCCAAATAACGTGTCTTTCATTTTCACAGCATATCAACTGTATCTTTCCATCATAACCATCTGGCCATTTTACTTGCTAAACTCAGGTCTTGCTGTCTCAAGGGGTATACGGTAATCAGGGTATTTTCCGTCACCTTGTATTGTTTGTGACGATTTGCATATCGTAATCGTTTAATAGCCGCTAGTATACCTTTTAAAGGGCTTGGCAAGCTTCCCCAAAAATTGCTGCTAGTTGCCAATCCCTTTAATCTTAAAAATCGCTAGTTTTTCGTCTGTGAGAGTACTGTAATCTATTTGTGTGTTTTTGGATAATTGTCCCTTGCCAAATTATTCGATTTGCATGTAAATTAATTCCATACTTTAGTATCTATATATTTATACAAAATTGTGATCCCCCGCCCTCAACTACCCACACTTATCCCGGATTCCGGCGCCCCGTTCACTCATCACCCATTCACTCATTTCTGCAGCCCTTTCGCTTGCATTTATTTGTCATTATTTATTTAGAATTCCCCTCGTTTTTTGGTCTATTAATTATCCCCCGATCCTGAAAATTCCTAGAAAAATGTATGGACTTAATTAAGGGAGAATTTTTAGTGCTGGGAAACATTTTTCGACGGAAGCGCGTGAGTGGAAAAAGGGAAAACAAGTAAAAACCAGTCTTGTGTTTCCTAAGCTTAAGCTAAGCCTAAGCTGCTAAGCCTAGGCTAAGCCTAGGCCAAGCCTAAGCTAAGCCTATGCTAAGCGAAGCCAGGTCTAGACGAAGACTAAGCGTAAGCTAAGCCTAAGCCAAGTCTAAGCATAAGCCTAAGCAACGCTAGGCCTAAGCCTAAACTAAGCCTAAACTAAGCCTAAGCTAAGCCCCAGCCTAAGCCTAGCTTATGTTTTTATCGAAAATTGAAATGCGACGCGTATAAATCTCTTTAGAATCATGCACTTTTGATCCCCTTTTCTCTGCTCCATGATCGTCGGATTCGAGATTTTCGATTAAAGCGCCTCATTATTGGCCAGACTGGTCCAAAAACCGCCTAAAGCTGAAGTACTTGCCGATAGCTCGGCTGTATTTTGGATGTATTTGTGTGCCAAATTCTGGCTTAACGGCCCGACTAGACTCTTCATCCCCCAAGGGGAGGGGGAAGACACCATGAAAACGGCAAAACATCAAATAACTCGAACGCGGTTTCCCGTCGAAAAGATTAGGTGCTTCCCAGCACACACGTGCCCTCCGGCACTCATTCAGGACAAATTAAAACAAAATCCCCCGGCTGTGTTTTGGTGCTGTCCGGGAATTGCCGCGTGTCGAACCTTGTGAGGGGATCTGACCCTGGTTAAATGGCAAAAAGAAAATGGAGAAAATCACGCATTAATGGCGATGAGAAAATCCTTAAGAATCTCTGCTAGCTTACCTTAGCTTGAAACCGAATGAAATCAGCATTTCCTCAATAATCTCTGCTAGTTGGTTGAGATTCTAGAGGCTCTAGCAGAAAACTGAGGAAAAGGGGAATTGACCCTGAGGATCTGCATTCTCTCCATTGATCTCTGCTTGCTTGCCCTTGACCGGGGCAACTGCAATGGATTTTCCCCAAAGATCACCGCTAGCTAGCCGCAAATTTTACAAAGTACAGGCATTTCTTTCCATTCCAAGCTAGCAGAGATCATTTAGATAGGGATCTCTCTAAGGATTTCTGCTAGCTTACCTAGTTCCGTCCTTAACCCGTAGATGACTCTTTTTCATCAATGAGTTTTGCGAGATCGCCCCTCTCCCCAACAATCTTTGCTAGCTTGCCGTAAGGTCAAGGCACCATCTCTTTAAAATGCCCCGCAACTCGATTGATCTCCTCATAAACCCAAACCTCAGAAATCAAAACGCCACCTCAACCTTATTCCTATGCCTTGATTCTGCCAAGTCCTACGCAAGGATGTATTTATTTTTGTACATATCCGCTTTGATGTATATCATTTATTTTAGGAACAGAAAAGATACGCAGAGAGAGCCAAAATATGAATAAAAATATATTATATCAATGACTGGACACGAAAAACGCACAGGAATCGAAAAACATGAACAAAATAAGGAAAATCAGAGGTGACCCGAAAATGTGGATTGGAAAATGGGGGAAATTCATGAAAATTCAATTAAAAATGAGACCTCAAACGCTTACGCAGTGTAATGGGGGAGTAGTTAGGACTGGCGCAGTTGTCTTAAAGGGACGTACAGGACATTGATATCGATTTTTCATCGCTCAACAATATGCAGAAGAATCCATACGCAAAAATCCTTACATCCCTTGCTGGGCCTTTTAAAAAGTGCGAGTTACGATCGGATAAAAATCACAAAAATCACGAAAAATTACGGTAGATTTGATCAAAATTTGATATAATCAAATTGATGAAAAATAAATAGAGAACTAGTAAGCACCGATTGTTTTAGGCAAAGTTTGCATATATGCGTCGCGGGAGCTTTGTGTGTTTGGCATTTGGAACATCCAACAGTAGAGGAAAAAGCGGAAGGACGAATGAAATGGAATTGTGGTAATGGGCTAAAAATGGTACGAAAATTTCTTAATAGTTTTTTAACTTGTGGAGATAGATTTCTGCTTAAACTTGTTTCACTTAGCCCTAAAAATTTGAATTTTGTTTAGATTAATTTGACTCAATTCACAAGTACAAAACGCTTTAATTGTTTAGGTTATTATCCTTTTCACTTAAAATTTAAAGTATATTTAAAGCATATTTAAACAATGCTAGTGGCAAACTCAGAGTTGATCTGTGCGGATCCGTTAGGTGCAGGGGCAGGGACACGCGGGGGATCGGGTTGAGAGGAGCCATTTGAGGAGGAGATCGAGTAATTGGCAGAATCATCTTGTCTCGGTCCTCCCATCATTTTCATCGACCGTATCCCACTGCCACCAGGTGCCCGTTTTTGTAGCGTCCTGTCCCCATAGATCGGATCCGGATCGGGGGTGGCCAGGATTCCGGTGGTGGTCGTCGATTGGAGTGTACCGTACAGGTTACGGTCCCCGCGGGTGCCATATAGGGACGGAGATCCGGGGGTGGGTGTTGGTTGGTTAGAGTAGTTAGTGGAGGAGCCTGGAAAAGGAGGGGAAGGTTGGAATATATGTATATTCCGGAATACAACGATCGAATGGCAGAATGGCACCTTCCCTCTTGGTCCCCCAAGTTGCCACAGCCATGACCCAGCCACAAAAGGGGCCCGATTTTTTTTTGGATCCTTTAAAGGGATGGTGTCAGCAAATTCCCCCACTGATCTCTACTAGATTGCCTACGAAATCTTTTCTTACTGGGCCTCCACTATAAGGGGATGATGCCCTTAACATTTCAGTGGTTTGCTAAGATTTCCTAGCTTTTTTGCACTTTTCTGGATCCGCTTAAACGCAAAAAATTCTGCAATGATGCCTGCTAGGTTGGCTGATTTATGAAATTCCCGGAAGGTCTCTGCTAGCCTGCCTCCATCTCATTAATAACCAGTTTGTCAGAAACATTGCAAACAAACTAATGGAATCCAAGTTTTCCGCAAGGAACTCTGCTAGCCTGCCCTAAATCGTCTGCCTCGGAATCGACAATGCTTTCATTCCGCTTTCCCCAAAGGATCCCAGCTAGAATGCCTCTTGATAATTTCAAGTCGCTCGGACCCCGCCCTATTACTCAAAGAATCACCGCTAACTTGCCCAAATTTTTACTTACTTTTTACTTTAACCCAATTTGTACGTTTTTAAATTTTTACCTTGAGAAGTGTGAGTGGAAGTCGGCGTAAAGCAGTGGTTATCCTGTTGAGATGACGATGTGGAGATGGTGCCAACGGCTGATGAGGCGGAGGACTGAAAATTGGAGGGGGTAATTTGAAGCGGGCAGAAGCGTTTTGGACAATTTTGTTAAGCGGTGGGACGGGTTGTTAAGAAATTAGAAAGTGATTTTTTTTAGTTTAGCCAGAATTTTTAGGAAAATCAGCATGGGGCAGCGAGGACACACAAAGTTAAACTTTTAAATTTTGTGTTTTTAATGGAAAACAAAAGATCGGGTTTTTAATACATTTATGTTACCCTATCTACGTAAAATTCAATTTTTGCTAAATTTTTTTAAGTTAGTTAGACGCTGTCAACAAGAAAACGACGTAAAGAGTGGACACTCAGACATAGAAAACCAACTTTTCAAATGTACAGGAATTGGTCGGGATCCTCCTTTTCTGTCTGTAAACAAAAAAATAATTCCACTTGTTCTAATTTAACCTCTCTCTCTCTCTCTCTCTCTCTCTCTCTCTCTCTCTCTCTCTCTCTCTCTCCCTCTCTCTCTCTCTCTCTCCCTCTCTCACTCTGTCTCACTCTCTCGTTTTTCTTTCTTGGTCTAGACACTACGACAGGCATCATGAGCTAAACTTTTCGTCCCAAAATACCGGCCATATTGGGACCCGTTTTTTGCCCTAGATGATTTTTTAAATCCGGCAATATTGCAAAAATCGCGCAGGGCGAAGGCCAAAACTTTTCAGCTTTGTTTGGTACAAACCGCGGCTAGTCCAACAATTTCGGGAAGTGCTGGAATGAGTAGGCGGAAAGGAAAAAAGCGCAAAGTTCGTCTGGAAGGGTTTCTCGCTACATGAGCTCTGTAGGATTTTAAGAGTCGGTTCTACGGGAAAAATAAAATATTTTTAGGGAAACTCTCTTCCACTCCCCCCCTCTCTCTCTCATTCTCTCTCTATGGGTCACTTGTTTTCACTCGCTACCTGTCAACTTTTCTTTCTCTTATTCTCTCTCACTCTCTCTCACTTTCGCTCTCTCTTTCTCACTCTCTCGCTCCCGCTCTTCTCGTTCTCTCTCTCTCGCTCTCTCTCTCTCTCTCTATAGCTCTCTCTCTTTCCTTACAAATGTATAATCCTACCACTTTCATTATAAACATACTGCCTAGGCTTCCCATCGGAATTAGGACTCAAATTAATCAACGATATCGAATTAACCAGTGGATTGCCCAGGAAATTATCGACCCTAACATTTGCATAATCCAGATTTCTAGACACGACTTTTCGTTGAAGCGAGTGATGCTGAACTTTTATAGGTGGTTGTATGATCTCGCCATTTAGATCGCGTAACGGGGAATCGGCTAAGGGGTATTCCAAAGGACACCCAGGCGAGTGTAGGTCGATTGACGATTGGGCGACGCGTAAAATACCAACATTTTGGCCGGTTTTTTGGCCATTCTGGGGGCCGCCGCCGTTCCAGAGGAGTTGTTGTGGTTGGCCGGGAGGGGCTCGCTGGCTAGAGGAGGCATTCCATTGTGTTGGGACGGCACCGTAGATTCCGGACTGCAAACTTTTCCATAAAAGGATCAACAAAAATTTGTATTTTTTATCGGGTGTCACCAGCCCCCTGGGCCGGTGTGACTTGTAATTTTAGCAGCTTGGAGGTAGCTCTTTTAAGAGCTTAATGTTACTGACCTTTGCGTCATTCTGGTTAAAGGATGACAGCTTGACGGTCCCGCCGGCAGTCCGTTGATATGGGGACGCGTCGCGTGTGGCCGCGGTGTTCCGGCTTTCCTGGCCGAGTAGAGGACTCTGGCGGACAGCGCCTAACGCAGTGCCTTGGCCGTCTGATGGCCGGCGTTGCAGCATCTGGAAGGCAAGTATAATAAATGTCATTGTCAATTCGGGTCAAATGAGCGAGAGGGATAGAGAGAGAGAGAGAGAGAGAGAGGGGGATAGAGGGAGGAAGGGAGAGAGATAGAGAGAGAGGGATAGAGAGAGAGAGAGAGAGAGAGAGAGAGAGAGAGAAAGAGAGATGAGAGAGGTAGGGAGAGATAATCGTACCTGATTCTGCATGCCTGGGGCGTAATTAGACGGCGCGGGCACGCGAACCGGCGCCGGTACGGGTTGACCAGGCGGTACAGGGATTCGAGTCTGCAAAAGTACGAACTACACCAAATTTCACTTAAATTTCAGTTATGAATGCGGCTTGGAAGGTTTAAAATCGAGGCCTTCTCTTTTTCAGGGCTTGACAAAAATAAAAATAAACAATTCCTACGATGACATAAAGGCCTTGAAATTTAAATGCTAATTTATTTAGGATAGGTTAAAATTTGCTAGCACTTGTCTCAACACCTCTGCTTTATCTTAAAAGCCTGAAATTCTCACCTGTCCCACCCGTCCATAGGTGCCGTACTGTCCGTACTGCCCGTAAGCGGCTTGCTCTTCTTGACTGCCCCTCCTGGGCGCGTAGATGCCCTCCTGTTTTCCCTTGTGGATGGAGGCGTAGGCTTCTTGCTGCTGAAATGTTCAAAGTCGGGCTAGGAGAATGTGTGTCTTACCGTATTCCACTGTCCCACCAGGGATCTTTGCATTGTTGAGGTGCTAGCGGGGGCTCTTTGGAGCGTCGCGGAGTAGTATTGGCCGGGCGGGTTGCGCTGTAAAAATCCTACCTTATATAATTTTGGAGTGTATCTCTGTGTGTGTGTGTGTGATGTCAGTTTCGAGGCTCGATTTGAGGGCCTTCCCGTGTCCAAAATGCCTTAATTCTCCGTCACCCGGGGGAATCGACCCTCCTCTTTCCGATGGCGCTTTCAGAATCCCGATAAAATACAAGTTTACAAAGTTAAAGCCGGTTTTATTGATTTTTGGGGGTCCGGGCGGGCTAATTTGCATAATGTGAAAAAATACAAATTTCCTCATTCTTGCCAGTTGCACTCGCGAGTTTGGTCGTCTCTTTGGAGCTGCCTCTTGATGCCTTTCCTTCCCCTGCCCGGGCAGTCCTCTTGAGGCATAAAACGGGTGTTGACGCGTGCTGCCAAGCATTGCATGGTGTAGTGGTTAGCGCTTCGCCTTGCCAATCTAACCATCGGTGGTTCGATCCTCGGATATCTTGGTTGTTTTGCTTTTTGCTCGGAAAGTGCGTTTTGGAGTGGATTTCCGTGTAGGGACGTTATTATGAAATTAGTCACTCAAGCCGCAGCCTATAGAATGAAGCTACCCGCTCAAGCATGCGCCGCAGGCCAAGGAATCAAGCTAACTGCTCAAGCTAGCGCCGCAGACTTTGGAACGACGCTAGCCGCCGAAACTAGCGCCGCAGGATAAAGGTTCAGGCCGGCCCCTGACTAGCGCCGTAGGCTTCGGAAGGAAGGTAGCCGGGCAAGCTAGCGCCGCGGGCTCAAGGTCAGAGCTAGCCCTTCAAAACTGCGCCGCGGGATAAGGAGGCTCAAGCTTGCGCCGCTGGCTTTAGAACGAAGCTAGCCGCTCAAGCTTGCGCCTCGGGCTTTAGAACGAAGCTAGCCTCTCAAGCTAGCGCCGCAGGCTTTAGAACGAAGCTAACCGCTTAAGCTAGCGCCGCAGGCTTTAGAACGAAGCCAGCCGCTCAAGCTAGCGCCCAGGCTTTAGAACAAGCCAGCCGCTCAAGCTAGCGCCGCAGGCTTTAGAACGAAGCCAGCCGCTCAAGCTAGCGCCGCAGGCTTTAGAACGAAGCCAGCCGCTCAAGCTAGCGCCGCAGGCTTTAGAACGAAGCCAGCCGCTCAAGCTAGCGCCGCAGTCTAACGAATAAAGCCAACCATTGAAGCTAGCGCCGCAGGCTAAAGAAGGAGGTAACCGCTCAGGCTAGCGCCGCAGGCTTTATCTCGAAGCAAACCGCTCAAGCTGGCGCCGCTGGATGAGGACCTGGCCGATCAAGCATGCGCCGCAGGCCTAATAACGATACTAGCGATTTAAGCTTGCGCCGCATGTCAATACAAAGAGGTTTGCATGGGATATGCGTTTCCTCAGGGTAACTTTATGTGGAAGGGCGCTCGATTCATAGGGCCTAGACGGGGGTCCAGCGGGGAGAGTCGCGAAGCGGCTCCTCCCCCGCTGGTTATATATTATTTGCTTGCATGAAAAAAGACAAACTAAGGTCTTGGTTTCTTTATCTGGCCTTGAAAAAATTATTCGAATTCTTCTCTATTTTAGTTTTTCGCGCTATTCTGAGTGACATTAATTTGCCAATGCATTTTCAAACTTCTCGATCCCTGGAAATCGGCATTAACTATACTAAATTATCAGAAAAAAAACTTTTAAAACTTACCGGCAAAGTTTGGAACCTCGCGCCTTCCGGAGGGCTGCTGTTGCCGCGGAATTGGAGGGTTTGGGTGGGCTGTTGTGCTTGAGAGATTCGAGAGACCTAAAAACGCCAAAAATAACCCTTTTCCTATCAAAATATAGCCCGTAGCTCTCACTATAAGTTTACTCTCAAGAATTACTGACCTGAGAATTGTCATCCGACGGCTTGCGCCCGATCAGTAATCGGTTCATCTCCGGCGTTTGTCGGACGTGCTCTTCCATGGGGATTTTTCTAAAAGTCGCACTTTATATCGTATTGCAGTCGGGATGCTACCTCATCTGCGGGCTCTGGGGACCACCGTTAGATCTTTGCCAGTAGACGGCTTCATCAGTGACGAGCTCTCCGCCACGTTGGCAGGCTCGGAGTAAGGACTGCTTGGTGGCGTGGTCGTCGGTGACAAACATCTGAAACAGACGGGTATAGGATCTCGTTCTCTCTCTCCCTGTATCTCTCTCTGGCTCTCTCTCCCTCTCTTTCTCTCTCTCTCTCTCTCGCTCTCTCTGTCGTACTACTCACCGTATCTCTATGCATCACTATCACTGCGTTCTTCAGTTTTGAGGGATTCTCATTGGTACGGACGTGACCGGCCGTCAGTCCTTTCTAAAAATGTACCCATTTTCGATTCAAAAAAAGACTCCAACCTGTAGTGCATAAATCTGATGCACATAGTGCGACACATTGAAGTCCCACTCCCGCTTGATTGTCAATAACAGCCACAGGAAGATGAGGGTGAACATGTAGATGACGTCGACGGCCAAGATGGAAAGGAGGATGGGCTTGTCGTCATGCTAAACTCAAAGTATGTTTCCTTAATCTTTTCTGCTAGCTTACTGCGGCTCTGAGAATGAACTTTGCTTACCTGCCAAATCTGAACAAAAGCGTAGACGTACGGCGCCTTCACAGCAATGATCAACACCAAGAGGAAGATGGTGGCCATATGAGGTCCGTAGCTGAAAATAATACTATAGATTAGCCTCTCCTCATTCTCTCATTCTATAGCTTTCTCTCTCGCTCTCTCGCTCTCTCACTCTCTCTCGCTCTCTCTAACTTACCCCTCACAGCACAGTTCGGCCGTCCGATGCGCTTGGTGTCTTCTGCTGAAGTCGGTGTATTCACTGGTGCCGTGCCGGGAGACGTTCTTTGCCTGGTGGTGGGCGACGCTCATCTGTAATAAAAAATAATATGCTCTCTATCTCTCTCATGCTCATGCTCTTTCCATTTTCTTGCTTTGTCGTTCTCTAGCTGTCTGAGCATCGACTTACAAAGTATTTGTTGTATCCATAAGCATACAACATCATTCCGGCCAGATGCGTGAGTACGGCCGATGTCAAAAATTCTCCCAAAACAGCGTACGGGTGGAGCATTTTCATGTTCTTGTCGTAAAGAAGGTATTGGCCTGGAAAATAAGTAGATAGATAGGTGATAGCTTACAACTTTAGTTAAGGCTCAGCAACGTTCCCAGTCCCTGAAAACCCTGCTTTCCAGAACTTACCAATTCCAACCGGCCGAATACTGTGGTAGTTCGTCTCCTGGACCCGGAAGAGGATGGAGAAACCGAGGTACGAGAAGACGAGTGTCGTGGAGAAGATCAGCAGGTGGAGGGAGAAGATCAGGGAGAACGGCTTGGAGACGCGCCAAAAGACCTAGAAAATTGGACCGTTGCTTGCTCTGAACATCTTTCTCTCTCTCTCTCTCGCTCTCTCTATTTAGCAAAATTCTCTTACCGCTGGATACGATATACTGTAGGTGATCAGGGCCACAATAAAGTTGACGAATTCGAGCGGGATCCCGAAGAGCCGGAAGTGCATCAGGACTGAAAATGATGGCATTAACGGCGTCGCAAACTAAGGATTGTATGGATTTAAATATCGTGGCATGACAGGTTTCAGATGTACTAGAACTTACTTGGCAACAAGTTCGGAGCTACAGGTGCGGCATTCAGCCGATCGGTGGTGATCGAAAATCCCTGCATCCTGGTCTCGCCGACTGGAAGATTTGTGGCGAGTTGTCGTGCTCGTTGGTAGACGAAGTCAAGCTCATTGTTGAGGAAGTCGCCTGAAAATATGGAATTCAGCGAGAAAGAAAGAGAGACAAAGGGAGTGAGTGAGAGAGTGCGAGAGAAAGTAGATTTTTTTCGGGATTTTTCTCTTGTACGTTTTTACCTAATTACCCTCCTCTGCCTTAGTTTTTTCTACTTCCACGGTCGCTACTATGAGCAAGGGATGGGGCCAATTGTTGCCCTAGGTGCCGAGAGAAGGGCAGGATGTGACCCCCATTGAGCCGTTATGTGTATAAGAGGGACAGGTGAGTGTGGCGACAAAGGGTCGCCTCTTCCTCCAAACGGATGAGTGACACTAATGGCACCTAGAGCCACACATCCCGCTCATCAATGTCTTGGCAAGCGAAAAGGTGAAAAAATAAAACAGGCTTAAGAACGAGTGAAAGGGAGAAAGCGAGAGAGAGAGAGAGAGCGAGAGAGAGCGATGGAGAGAGCCGGAGCCGGACGGAGAAATGATGCCGATTCTACTCCTTTTGATGCCATTTTCATTCTAATTCTGGATAACATTCCGGTCGGTATGCCTTTAAAATAATAATTTTCTGCTCTCTCTTCTGCTCTCGCTTTATTTAATTCCAGTCAGGACCCATCGGCCTTATATCTCCGCTAGTAAAAACTTGGCCTCCCTCTGGCAAGGGGCCAACTTATTTCAGGACCCATACGCCGCACAACCCTATTCCACGGGCACCAATTTTACTATCGACGGATGAGTACTACGCGGCGGTCGTGGAATGACCACTTCTAGGGCCCCCTAGGGAAATTGAACGAAGGAGACGTGGTGTCAAGGGGGTCAAAAATAGTTTTTTTGGTTGTCGAGGCTCTCCCTCTCTCTCTCCCTCTCTCTCTCTCACTCTCGCTCTCCCCTTTAACTTCCTTGCCAATTGTTAGCCAGCCATTACTTCTAGCATCCCTAATGGCTATTACGCAATGCAAAGATTGACAGGTAAAGCGAGAGAGATAGAGAGAGAGAGAGAGAGAGAGAGAGAGGGGCGGGGGGACGGAACGGGAGAGGCGTCATTTTTGCGTTGGGCAATTGCTGTCTCCGGATAATCCGCTCTGTTCCTTAGCGTTAGCCATTTGGGGATGTTTGTGATCGAGTTCTTAGGGCGGCTAGTCCTTTTATAAATGCGATGCAAATTAAAGAAACAAAGAGAGAGAGATAGAGAGAGAGAGAGAGAGAGTGTGTGTGAGTAAGAGAGCGAGGGAGAGGAGGGAACGAGAGAACTTGCGAAATATCTCGAAAATAACTTACCAGACTGAATAAAAGCATTCCGATAGAGCTGGGCAATCATCAGCTGCTGCGCAACAAGTTGGGCGAGTGCGACGATGAGGTGGAGATGGTGAGGAAGTGGGGGAGAATGAGCCCAAAGGGAGCGAAGCCAGTGGAAACAGCCTAAAATGGTTGATTTTCACTAGTCATACACGTTATAGCAGGTTCTCAAGGACCCTAAATGATCTCTGCTAGATTGCCGCGTTTCCTCTTTTCCCCAAAAAACTCTGCTGGATTGCCCCACCTCGTTTCTCTCCATTTTTGTTGATTCCAGTCTCAATCACTCGATCCTCTCGGTCTGCCAGCCTCTCGTGATCTCCGGAAATATTTCCCGTCTTGAAGACTCCGGAGGCAAAGATGAACAACAGCCTAAAAAATTTTTTAAAGGAACATTAAAGGATTAAAGCCAAACTTACGCTGGGATACACGAAATGTAGATGATCACGTAGACGTTCAGCCAAATTTTGGGGTAACCGCCATTTGCCGGCCATTTCATCTCATTGTAGAGTTTGTATCTAAGGTAGAAATTATAATCAATTGTATTTAAAATATAAAAAATCAAGAAAATCGAAAATCGCCGATTGATGGAAAAAGCGTTTTTAAAACTGCAAAATCAAATTTTAAAGCTTTTATTTGATTTTTTAAAGGTTGTTGGATTGAACGAATTAGGAATTTTCAATATCCAAAATAAATTAATCTTTATAAACCCACCGCTCAAATCCCAAATAAATCAGGTAAACTTGCAGCAACACCACTAAAATGGTGTACCATATTGACCAGAGCTGGTTGAGACGGGCCTAAAAAACAAAGATTACAATTAAATTAGCATCATGAAATACATAAATATTTAACCATAAAATATCTGACGCTTACCCGAAAAACGCAGCCCATCTTTGTAAAATTGTGTTTTACGAATTTTCTTTCTGGTGCCGCTTTACATCAGTGGGATTCTGGAATCAGGGGTGTTCTATTTTGGGTCACGTAATCGAGGGTTTTGGAAGGCGCAGAAAAGGGAAAAAGTTGAAGGATTGCTGTGGAATTAATTGGGATCGGAAGAGGAATGAAAAGAGAAACAAACCGATGAAGCGGACGCAGCTGAAAAGAAAGCAAAAAATAATTGGGAAACAAAAATTAGAAACGAACGGTGATGGCATCACTTTTAAAGGGGTGGTGCCAGTAAAGCAGCTCCATGCTAATGCGTATGATTGCGTAGTGCAAAAAACGCAGCGTAGCGAGCGTTTACGAAAAATTAAAATAAGAATTTTTCTACAATCAGAATTTTGCGACTATTATTGTTTTTGGTGGAATTTCAAAGCATCAAAAAGCGTTTCTGTAAAAGTTCAGCTTCAGGTCAGGATTCCAGAAGGTTCCAAGGCTCTAAAGCTACTTTTAGGGCTTCAGAAAAAGTCAGGAAGCGGAAAAACAAAGAAATCGTATTGTTTGTCCTGGCGGAATCGTAGATTGTGGCTGTTTATATGTCTTTCGATGACTGACTGACCAGCGGTGACTCAAAAATTGCCCGAGGCAGCATGGACGAGGGCCCCGGAGAACACCAAAGGGAAAAAGGAAAACATAAATCGAGCGAGAGAGAGAGAAAGAGTGAGAGAGAGAGAGAGGTACAGAGATCGATGGGTGGGGCTGCACATTCTCAGCTGTCGCCACTATCAAACATCGGATGATGATGGATGGGTGTGTTGGTGGTTGGGAAGAAAAAGAGGCATAGCATGGAATGGAAATGGCATCGACAGCATCGAGAACATGTTGCTAGTTTATATTGAGGCTCGCATTTACTTTAACAAAATTTCCAAAATATAATTCCGAATCGGAAATAAAGAAATCGGCATTGAAAATGCACCTAACTCCGGAGTACTGAACGATAAGGTAAGTTAACCGAATTCGAAAAAGCTGATTTAAGTAAGAAGTCAATTTTACACCCCCGTCGGGACCTCCGTCAAGTACTCTTAAAACGGAAATACACAGCATGTCTCCGTTCGACAGTGCAAATTCGTGAAATTTGAAAGTTCCAGGAAAAATTAATTTTATGATATTATTTAATGTATTTTAATTTTAGATCTATAAAGCTTTAAAAATTCCTAATTCCGAAAACGTCCAAATTCCGGCCAATAACGAAAACTGAGGTCAAAACAGCTTGTGAAGCAACGGTTAAAATGGAGCTCCATCGCTTCGGAGGCCCCCTCCTCGAGGGGGACCGCCCAGACTTGTGTGTAAAAAGATGCTATCTGGACAAATTTGCGGCCGGAATAACAGCCCAAATGCCTTAAAAATGGGTTTCGAAATCAGAACCCAGACTACAATGAAGATTGGATTACAAGATTGGAAAAAATATGGGGCACACATGCTAAAGATCAAAAAATCAGGGCGAAATATTCAATCAAATGCAATCTGAACGGACTTTTAAAGGTAGATGTAAGAAAGCGGATCGAATCTCTTCCATGGACTAGGTATCGACAACTACCGACGGGGTCAAAAATACGCCACAAGGGATTGCATTTAAGAGTTTACTACTTTATAGCACCATGAAATACGAGAACAGGAGGCCGCTACAGGTATTTTCTTACATCTGAGTGCTGTCGAGACCTAGTCGATAGTTGGAGTCGATTCTTGCTCTTACCAAGACTTTTAAAGGGATAGGGATGGGAGCAGGACGAATTGGACCAGAAACGAGTTCAAAAAGTCAATGATGGGGGGTGCGAGCGGGAGCGTTAGTAGTGAGAGAGTGAGTGATAGTGAGAGAGATCGAGAGAACGAGAGGAACGAGATCCAAAAATCTGATCCGCCCATTGTTCAAAAAGGGCACTGCTCTACCCTCTACCTATCCCTTTGAACCACTTCCACTCGACTGCCCGCTGTGCCCTATCCACCCAGCTGATCCCCCCGGCAACAGTAATATGGCGGAAATAATGGAGGTTATGGGGGAATGGTGGTGTCCCCTTGTGGGTAGATGGGTGTGATCGGGGGTGTTGATCGGAATGCAAAGTGACAGTTATTGCCCCGCCTCACATGGGTTGGAGGGCTCGAATCCATTCTGGGAGATCACAATACCCCGCGACAAGCTATACATATGGACGGGGCGTTAAGAGGAATATATTGCGGAATCGAAACGAGTTTGAAAATTGGTGGATTTCAACGTAGGCAGGGGAACTAGCAGCGATTCTTAGGGAAAACCTCCCAGGATCGTCTTCTAAAATCTCCTAGATTGAAATTCTATCATTCTAAACGTAATTTTTATCTTCTTCAAGTATTTCAAAGACAAAAATTTCCCTGGAAAGCAAAGCAGGCTAGCAGTGAAACCTCAGGAAGAAGTGGAACTTTCCTTTCGTCAAGTTAAATAGAAGTGCGAAGCCAGTCTAGCAAAGATTATTTGCCACAGAGGATTCAGGTTTTGAAACGCGATTTGTCTGCATCTCTAAAGTATTAAACGATTACGAAGTGAAATCTATCAAGCGTTGCCATAACAAAATTTGCCCTAAAGCGAAGAGGAAACACAGGGAATCTTTTACGACATGTATTTTTAGTGCGTGTTAGTACGAATTAGTAAAATTCATCGTACATTTAGTAAAATTTCCAAATTTTGGAATTATAGGCCTTTCCGAAGTGCAATTAATTAATAAAAAGGGCTTTCAAACGTTCCAAGGCTCAATCCAATCAACAAAACGATGGGTGTATCTAGAATTAACCGTTACGTTTCCTGAGATCAAAAATCTCGTGAAGAAAGATCGTGGGGTATCGCCGGAACACTCGCGGAGTTCCCCTAATCCGTTTCTCATTAATTAGAAAAAAGGGAAACCGGGTTTTTTTTATGGAGGGGCCGAGTGTGATAGTGGAGGCGAAAACAGAAACGGTAGTATCGAGCTCAATAAATCAAGACGTGGTGGGGATTGATATCAATTTTGGGGAAGGGGGGATCAAAGAACACGCTTTTCGAGGCGGTGTTAAAAGATATCATACACTATTCCATCAATTCAGAAAAACAAGACGATTTGGAAAAAAATTAAAGCTATCGAAAAAGCGTTGAAAAGCTTCATAACAAATATGTTTAAGCCAGCAATAAGCCAGCTTATTAATGCTCGAGTATTAAATCGGCAGAGAAAACAACGCTTTCTTTCTCTCACTCTCTCTCTCTCTCTCTCTCTCTCTTTCTCCTTGTCTCTCTCGCTCTCGCTCTCTCGCACTCTCTCGCTCTATACAGCTGATTTCGTAAAATAAAAAGATCATTTTGAGGCTGCAAACTAGAAAGGCGGTTTTAAACTATATAACTAACGGGTTAAGCTACGAAATCCCTAAAAATTAATTATAGCCAAAAATAAGTCCGCCGGCGGTAGACACTCCAAAAAAACCCCAAAATCCATTTTCAGCGCCGTTTTTTTGGGTGGCGAGGCCCGGGATCAGTTTCGCCGGGTTCAGGGCCCAAATTGTGGCCCGCACCCCCCTCTGGCCCCGGGAACAAGTGGACGCATTTTGGGCGGTTCGGGCGGGAGAGTGAGGAATAGATAGAGAGGGCAGAGATGTCGAGGGTGGATGGCCAGTTGCCAGCCAGCCGGCCAATGTCAACCGCCGATCTACGCGTAGCGGGGTGCCTCCGGGGTTATTGAGGCAATTATTTAGGAAGGGGAGAATATCGTACTAGATTTTACGCGATGATCCTATGATTTCAAGGAAGTTTTTAAGAGAAAGGTACATTCAATCGCTTCACAAGAATTCCAATTCGAAACATTTAAAAAATTGATAACCTTCTAACAGACCAAAAACAGCAATTTGAAAGAGAAATAAATACTTTTGAATCTTCTCAAGCTTTCGATGCTGTCGCAAAAGGTAAACACTCGAACTAAAGTCTCGTAAATCTTGCAGCTAAAAAGCCACGGAAAGGGAAAAAAAATCGGAATTTTGGGGTGAAATTTCTGAAAAAGTTCGATTAGTAAAATTATCAAAATTAAAAAAACTAAAACGATGAGGCTGATTCGCAGAGAAAAATGACTTTCAAGAATCAAAGAAGTGAAAAATGCGTTTGGAGTAGTATGTCGGAAAAGCCCCGTCGAAGATTTGCATGGCGTAACTGAAAAACTAATTTTAAAATCGTGATTTAATCAAAAAGAAATCACTTGTTGAAAACAGTTATGCGCACGGAAAATAAAGAAATCGAAATTCAAAACGGAGTGTTCATAAAGATGGGGCTGAATACTAACAAAAATTAGCATAAAACGTTGTGCGTAAAATCGGCTTGAAAATTGGGTCTGCCAGTTCCGAAGGCAGGCAAATGTATCTTCAGACAGGTAAGGGCTAAAAGCAAGCAGTCGTACGCAGGGAAACTTGCGCAAAACCAGATATAATTTGCATTAAACCGATCGAATGTGGCCGTTAAATCGAGGTCAAGGATCGAGAAAATAATCACAGAACCGCCAGTAATTTTCGATTCCACAGCCATCAAACTACAGCCTCAAAATCCACCTGACTATGGGCCAATGCCACCAGACCAATATTGGTGCTCGCGTGTCCGACTGCCATGTCCGGGGGTGTGTGGCTCGGAAATGCCGATCGAGAGAGCGAGTCCGGTGGCAGGAAAAGAAAAAGCCGGCCCTTCCGGTGGCCGCATACTTTGCATATTCTCCCCAGGGGGATTTCAGTGGCCGAAGCTAGAGGAGCATTGGCCACTGGGCCCTACTCCCTCCCTCGGAGTGACCCATCTAGGAGGGCCAGCAACGGAGGGGAGAAGCAGCCACTTGCACCCATTTACGGGCCCACACACACCCTCCACCTCTTCCTCACCCACATCGCCCTTTTCGAGCCCGGCTCAATGAGTTTAGAGGAGGAAGAGGAGTAGTAGTGCGGGAATTGGAACTCTGGAAATGGCAGAAGTGTGTGGTGGAACGCTA